GAGTATTTGGACCCATGCATGTATTAAGACCTTTGTTAAGCTCATTTTGAGCTCTTGAGCCCTATTAAGCCATGTATGTTTGTAAAGTTGCCAACTTTACGTGATAAGTTACCCTTTAGAGTCAGATTTGAGAGTTTGGCTTAAGGTATTAATCAATTAAGAGCTTAATGGTGAGTGTTGGCCTCTAACGAGTACGTTGGGCGTACATAGGAGTACGCTCAACGTAGTGCTTGGTCTATGCATCGAAAACTTGTATATTGTGTGTCGTGGCTGAGTACGCGGGGCATACGTCTCTCAGACGCTGGGCGTAGTCCCCAGGATGGACATTTTAGGCTTTTAGGGATTGGGCCTTGTTGGGCCATTGGACCTTAGACTTTGGGCCATGGATTGACTGTGGCCTTCCTTAGTATGGGTCTCATGATAGTTTTTGGGCCCAATTTGGAAGTTGGGCATATTGGGCCTTCCGTTTCCATTTAGGAAATCGGGCTTTTGGAGCAAATGGGTTGAGCCCAGGTTTGGGCCAAATAAGGAAAGGGTAAAATGGTCTTTTACCTTGGTTATGGATTAAGTGGCTTTGATTCTTGTTTTAGGTCAAGATGCAAATATTAATTGGATAATTATTTGATGGTGCTAGCGCAAAGGGATTTTCGTATCAGCATACTGAGAATTTATTGAGAGATTCAACGACTTGAGGTGAGTTTCCTCAATGTGTTTAGCGGGTCGAAGGCACCAATGCCGACCCATGGTTTGTTATGATAGGATGCTAGTTTTCTGCGTAACTCCTACATAGGTTATGTGTTTGCATGTTTACCGGGCGGAGCCTGATGCCGGTCGGGGCCCGATGATCATTCTGTATTCTATTTATCATTGTGTTTATATGCTTATATGTTTATATTAATGTCGGACGGGGCTCGATGACTGACATATTTGTATACCGAGCGAGGCTTGATGCTGGGCGAGGCCTGATGCCTGGCAGGGCCTGATGACAAGAAGGGCCCAGAATATGGTTGATATGTATGGTATGCAATATTTTTGGGAACTCACAAGGCTTCGTGCTTACGGTTTTCAATTTTTGGTTTCAGGTATTTGCGGTTCAAAAGGGACGGGCCCTGCTTGATTGCAGGCATCTACCCATGTTTCCGCAACATGTCGATTTTGGGATTGTACTCTGATAACGTTGTTACTTTGAATGTTTTTGTAAAGATAACTGGTGTTTTGATTATGTTAAAAGTGAAATTTCACCTCTTGATTTTCAGGATTTTACATTGGCGAAGCTTTGGAACGATAAGTTATTTGACTGTTGAATGTCTTAAAGAAACTTATTACTTTTTTAAATGGGAAAATGACGCAACGACCTATTATGTATTTCTACTTTACTCATCACTTAATTTATTTTCGTGCTTTATAAGGGAATAAACTCTGCGGTGATCTGTGTTTTTAGTCCTTCTAACCTATATTAGCCAGTAACATATGCCACTTAAGCATTTTTCTATTTAAAAGTCAAACCTTTTGACCATTTTTCTAGAGGATGTCTCATTCCTAGTAACATATGCCACTTAAGCATTTTTCTATTTAAAAGTCAAACCTTTTGACTATTTTTCTAGAGGGATGTCTCATTCCTGTTCTCAGCTTCAATTGACAAACATCAACAAAAAATTAAAATTGTAGTGTTGTTCCTTTCTCTTTCTCTCTCTCTCTCATACACACACGGACCCTTCTTCATTGCCCTTATACCTCCATCCCAATCACCAAGATAAAACAATTCACAACTAAAATGTTAAGGGGAGGGGTTGTTTTTGAAAACAATCTTCTAAATGCGACTTGACCTGAGTACCCGACACCACATCCACACTGTTCTTGGTGTGATTAAGTGATTAAAGCATATTGGTTAGAGCAGATCGAACATCGCCTTCTCCACAGACACTCACACAATAATTATGCATCTCGATCACAACATTTTGACCCATTTACGCAACCTCGTTCATGACCCCTTTAATCCAATCGAAATACCCTTGTTGCCTTGTGACCCAGTAGAAGTAAGATCTTGTTGTATTTAAATTAGAGGCGTTTTTCTTCGACAACGCCGATGCTAGCAGCAATGGGCTGTTGCCGTCGTTTTCCAAGGCTTCGTCTTCCTTTTTTGTTTTTTTTTGTTTTCATGTTATTCAAGATGATTTTGACGATACTGATCATCGGGGTTGCTCTGATTCCTAACCCTACTAGCAACACGACGTCGTATGGTCCGTCGATCAGGAATTTCGGGAAACTGTCAAGATCAATTTAATCCATTAAATGTTGTCAATTTTGGTGTTTTGAGAACAAAAACGACAACAACAAAGTACTTACTTTGGGTTGTTTTTGAAATCCACTCTTAGTAGTCTGTTTTTGCCACTAGCAGGTGGCTGACTTACCTGAGAGAAGACGATTTTTAGTTGTCTAGTCCAATCGTCGAGTGTTCGGATATGCACACACTTAGGTAGTCATCTCTCGGTACAGAAGTTATGGAGAAGAAGATGGGAGGGGTTGTTTTTTACCGGTGATAGAAGGAGATAAGGGATTGGTCATCGATTGGAAAATTATAATGTTAAATGAGGTGGCAAGGAAGTTTCCGGCTGACCCCTTCTTTTCGTCAAAAAAGACCAAATAGACCCGAAAAAAATAAGTTTGTTCCATTAAAAAGCACGAAAAAACTATAGGGACTGAAAAAGTAAAGTCGAAATACCTAATAAGGCCGTTGCGTCATTTTCCCTTTTTAAATTTAAACAAAAAACATATTATCTACACGTACTAATATATACTCCCTCCGTCTCAAATTAATAGTCCATATTTCCTTTTTGGTTTGTCCCAAAATAATTGTCCACTTCTAAAAATAAATATCATTTTTACCAAAATAGCATTCATTATTAGTTAAACTACAATGAAACTAAATGCAACTACCATAAAATTAAATGCAACAAAAGGGTATAATTGTCATTTCTTTTAAAAAAGTTAATGGTAATTAATGTTTTCTTAATCTGTGTGTTTTTTGTCTGTGGACAATAATTTTGGGACGGAGGGAGTATATATATATATATATATATATATATATATATATATATATATATATATATATATATATATATATATATATATATATATATATATATATATATCACATTTTTAAAAGATGAACAATTATTTATCATCTTCTTCTTATTCTTCATTCGATGATGATGATATGTTTATTCATACGTTTATGCAAACGACAAACGAAATGTTAAGTCAAGAAGCCGAAAGTTCAATTGCCGAAAAGAGAATTAGAACTTCGATCAACATAGATCATATCACAGAAAATGAACTTTTGGTACATGATTACTTAACCCCTGATTTATTTTTTTATATGACCATGAGAATTTTGAAGAATGTTTCCATATTAGCATAAATCTATTCATACGTATAGCTAGAGATTTGATAGATAATTATGATTTATTTTCAATTGAGTTGGGATGATAAGATAAACGAGGTTTTACTATGTACGATATAAAATGTACAACTGTACTTCGACAATTGGTATATTACATCACTACATACGGATCATATGAGTATTTAAAAATATATGATGGAATGGGTTGAGAATTTGTATATTTGTTTTGTGAGTATGTTGTAGAGTTTTATGGTAACATATATTTAGGGACGTCGACTAGAAGTGATGTCGCACAATTATATGCCGCACATCAAGCTACACATGTTTTTCAAGGAATCTTTGGTAGCAATCACAATCTCCGTTATTACTTGGCTGAACACATATGTCGAAAACAACATGGAACAAAGTGATGAGACGAAGACAACGAATAATAGTTTCTATTTTCTAGTGGTTAACTTTTAATTTTTATTGTCTTTTTAAATTTGGTTTTGTAATTTTTTAAATTGTTATTGTCCTTTTTAAGTTTAGTTATGTAATTTGTGTTCAATAATAGTATGTTTTATTTTGTTTAAAGATTTTAATTTATTTTTTTTATAATTAATTAATTTAATTTAACTTTAATTTGTATAACATTAATTATATTTAGACAAAAATAAAAGAAAATAAATGAATATGATATTGATGATGTGGACTTATGATTATTCCAAAATGTTGTGACGTAGCTTTATAAAACCCCACCACTAACCACTATAGTGGTGAGTGCCACATCATCACCACTAACTACCACTAAAAGCTTGGGTTACTCACCACTATATCCATTTTATTTTTTGATTATTAAAATAAAAAAATATATATATTTTTTAATTAATTAAATTGTAGAGAGAGGTGAAGAAAGGTAGAGAGAGATAGAGAGACATAGAGAGAGAAACAAGTTTATTGGCTGTGGTGTTCCGTTCTTCCCACCACAGATGACAACGAAATAGCTCCACCACTAGCCACCACTAAAACCTTGGGATAGTGCTCATATTTGTGGTTAGTGGCCACGTAGACCACGAACCATCTCGTGATGAGCAGAAGGCCTTAGCGATCTTTTTTCTAGTTGGTCACCAACAACAAATTAAAGGAAAATGAAAAATAAAGGAAAATGTGCGGACTAAAGAGGGGAGGTGTCGGTGCAACGACCGCAGCCGTGACTATTTCAATTGCTTTTATTTTTTTTCTTAAATAAAGCTTATAAATATTAAATCATGATTTATCCCTTTATAAAGAAAAATAAAAAAGAAATTGAAATTATAAATTTTTTTTCTCTGACCAATATTCATATATTTTTGTGTAGTTTTAATTATTTTATAATAATAAAAAGTGGAGTTGGTTTGTATTGTTAATCGAGTTAATAAAAATTATTCTAATTGGTTGTGTATATAGATAAAAGAGAAAGTATATTTTAATGAATGTATGGATTTGTTTTAATGACCCATAGGAGTGTCTAAGTACCACACATTTCTCCAAACTCCACAAATTGCAGATTTAGGAATTAAAGTATATTGACCTAATGACCTTTAGATATGTTTATGTTTAAATGAAGTAAAGAACATACCCCAAAATTATGGGAAATCTTAGACCGGAGAGACTCAATGAGATCCTGATTGTATAATTCTTGATAAGTCTCTCGAATGATTTTTCTTTGGGTTGCATTCCTATGACCCAACACTTTAATAACAGCCTTCCCATCATGCATTAATCCTGACAACCACACGAAACTTGTGAAGAAATATTTCAGCAAATTTCATTAGAAATTGATTTGTATATAATAATTTTTTTGCTATATAATAATTTATGAGATTAGGTGATTTTACAATTTGTATATTATATAACATTTCTAATCATAAATTGTCGTGTATCACAAAAAAATGTTGTCTATGGATCAGCTTCCATTTCGTTAAAACGACGAATCTTTATTTAAAAAATTTACACAATTTTAAGGATCTAGAAAGAGAGAGGGAGATGGACCATCTAAAGCTTTTCGAAGTGTTTCCGAGTCTTGGGCAGGAGAAGGAAGTTGTTCCGGTAGTTTGATTGTCGCCATTAGATTTGTTGGTGTTTCGCGTCTCCGGTCGTATTGCTTTTTTTGTGCGAAGATAATTGTTTTGATAAAATTAATGAATAAGTTTTGTGAATAATTGATAATAAATAGACGTCTAGTATACGTATTTTTAAATATTTTACATTTTCTAGGATATATAAAATATTGGTTTTCACGTGTATTTTTAAATATTTTACATTTTCTAGGATATACAAATATTGGTTTTCACGTGTCACTTAAGTTAATTATGAATATCATTTTTATAAACAAAATCATTTCTTTGGTTTGCCAAACGGCATGCTACACAATACGATAATATAGCAAAAGAAATCCATTTAAGAATTATAGTTGTTTACGTAAGTCAAAGCTAAGCAATCTAATCTACATTTCAATGTCTTAATTTTTCGGATATGACAATCTAATCTGCATTTCAACGTCTTTTAAACATAAAAAAAAAAAGAATGTGTCACAATATTGTTAAAAATTAATATCATTCATTTGTTTATTTGTTTAGTTAGACAAATATTTTGTCGTTTTGAAATCTCCAAGAAAAAAAAACAACACAAAAGTGGCCGCATCTTTAGGCCGTCGGGTATGTGCCCGTGAAGAGCTGCCCCATCTATGCCGTTAAGGGCTGTGGCGTGGCCTCTCGTTGCAACGATCACGAATGGTAACGACGATTTTTTTGAATGAACTGGCAAATGAGAGTTCCTAACGGTCATAAAAGATGATATATATATATATATATATATATATATATATATATATATATATATATATATATATATATATATATATATATATATATATAGAGGTTATAATGTGGATGACATCTATTGTGTGGTCGTAAGGATAATTCTGGACCAATAGATGAATAAAATGAATGGTCATGAGTTGAGGGTTTATGATATTACTATGATATCATGTACTATATAATTACATAAATTCTAGTATAAGGGTATTTAAGTCAATTAAACTACATTTAAAAAAGGAAATTTCAGATTTTTAGGGGTAATTAATTCTCTTAATTTTAAAAAAATCTGATTTTAATAGATAATAATTCTTTTATTTCGGGTTATTCTAACAGAATATGTTTATGAGTATCTTGAAACATTCTTGAACCATAAAAGAATAAATATTCTAGCAGAATACATATTTTGATGGAATGAACTTCTTGAAGAATAACAAATTCTTGAACCATTAATTGAAGAATAAAAACAAAAATTACACTAATTATTAAATAATATGGGTAACAATTGCTAAAAATTACATTTATTATTAAAGAATAAAACTAAGAACGGTTAAAAAGTGAAAAAGAAAACATCAAAATTTAACAAAAGACAATAATACATTCTAAAAGAATATTGTTGCTAAGAATCACTTTCAATTTTGCGGTCCGTTCTTTAAGCATCTGAAGACATGTGAATTGCACCAAAATCCATAACCAAGAATTGTAGAAAATGCACAAATTAGTGATGAAATATCACGATTCCTTTCCGACAGAATTGAAATTTGTGATTCCATTCCGACATAATTGGATTCAATTATGGTAGAATGACCCCTCGCCATTATTATATATCAATGCAAAATGAAAATTTAGAATGTTAAACAAACCAAAAAAGGGAATGTAACATGTAAGAAAGTAAAAGAAATATAAAAAATGAAACAAACCATTAATTTAAATGGTCGAGATAGTCCAAATGGGTTTAGGGATCTTCATTTTTGATGTACATATAAACCTAGCACAAATTAGTATAAGAAAAAGCGTTTAATCAACTAAAAAACAAAACTACAAAACTAGAAATAAAGATTTAATAGTATAACAAAAATCACAATTCACAAAAGAATAAAATATCAAGCCTTATATGTTGTCTATGGAAATGTAAAAGATGAAGAAATTTTCTTTGTTAGGTTAGAAGTTGGTGAAAAACCCAATAATACTTAAAAATGTTAAAAAACCAATATGAAAATGGTAAACCACAAGATATTTGTATTCTTTGAAGCAAATTAACAAACACATGGTGATCAAAATCAGTAGCCACATCATGTAAAATTATGAAAATAAATAGAGTTGAGATAATTTACATGGTTTCCTAATTAAAAAGTTATCATCATATTTTATAACAAACAAAAATAATTTCCAAGTTCCAATCATAATTAATATCTAAAACCTAAAAAATTATTACTAGAAATATAAAAAATTATCTTACACGTGTGTATGTTTTTTTATATAAAGGTTCATATATGCCATTACATCATTGAAATTTTTCCAAAGAATCTAAAAATACACAAATACACTGGAATTTTGAGTAAGTCAACATTTAAACAAAAAAATCTAAAAAAAGTCTCAATTTCACAATTATAAAGAGTATATGACTAATTTAGTTCTAATCATGAACACGAAACTAACACAGCACCATCTAGGGAAAAAGATTCAATAGCATTTAATAATATAAATTCTCAAGAAATTAAATCCGAGAATTAATAACTGAAAGAAAGTGATACTTCTCTTAAGATTTTTTTAACAAACCTTAACAATTAAATCAAACTTCAAATCAGTTTAATGAATAAATCAACCCAAAATATGAAAATATTACCTATTGGATTGTTACGGTTGCAGGGTTGTTGCTGTAAAATACAAAGCAGGTTGCAAACTTCGAATTAAAAAGAAAGACATAGATAGGCGGGGAGAGATCGACAGTGGCATGAAGGAGGCAGAAGTGGCTGATGAATGACGGTTAGGGGTGCAAACGAGCCAAGCTACTCGCGAGCTAATCGGGATCGGATCGTTAAAAGCTCGACTCAAAATCGATTTTAAACGAGCCCGAGCCGAGCTCGAACTTAATATTAAGCTTGTTTCTTAAACGAGCTCGAGCTCGAGCCTATGTCATTAAGCTCGATTAGGCTCGCGAGCCTAAACGAGCCTTTATATAATATAATTTATTATTATTTATATATATTAAAATAAAAACATATTATGAGAATTATGGATTAAGGGTATTAGTAAACGAGCTTCTTAACGAGCTCGAGCCGAGCTTAAGCTTATTTAGACACGTCAGATAAAAAGCGAGTCGAGCTGAGCTTATATAATTCTTTACGAGCTCGAGCCGAGCTCAGTACAAGAAAGCTCGAATCGAGCCGAGCTCGAGCTCGAGCCTCAAATAACTTAAACGAGCCCGAGCCGAGCCTAGACAGGCTCGGGCTCGGCTCGGCTCGTTTTCACCCCTAATGACGGTGGTATGAAAGAGGTAGAAGTGGCCGACGATGGAGAGGGCACGGTGGAAATCTTCCAGGAAGAAATTGGGTCAAGGTCGAAGTGGTTGTGGGTAGGGTTTTAAAGCATTAAACTAATTTGCCTAAATTAAAGGGATTAAGGATTTAATTCTTTAATTACCAAAATTAGTTAATAGTTAAGATTATAATTTTACCCCTATCCATGATTTTGAAATGATTGGTCCGTATTAATCCCTACATCCACACAATAATTGTTCATCCACATATGAACTTACGTCTATATATATATATATATATATATATATATATATATATATATATATATACTATAGGATTAGGTTAATCTGAGACGATATAATTTTGTGAGACCGTGAGACGCAATCCTAGTCATTCATTTTGTAGATTAAAAAAAAACATTTTTAAAATGCAAAATAATTGAAAATTTTTAAATTTTTTTTTTCAAATATTATTTTCGTCATTTATATTTTCCAAAAAAAAACAAATACCGTTTTTTTACATATTTTAGTAGAATATTAGAATATTTTAAATATTTGACAAATCTAGTAGAATATTCTAACATTCTAAAAATCACATTAGAATATTTACAATGTAATATTCTATTAGGTAATTTCACGTATTTTAAAACAAAACGGTAATTTTTTTATTTATTATTTATTATTTTTTTAGGTAAAAAAATGACGAAAATAATAATTAAAAAAAGAATTTTTTGGATTTTTCCTTTTATTTTGCATTTGAAATTTATTTTTAGATTGCGTCTCACGGTCTCACAAAATTAGTATGGTTTCAAATGAACTTCAACCTATATATATATATATATATATACTAGATAAGTTTTGAGGCTCATGCTAAGCACGACCCATGGAAGTTAATTCAGACATTTTGAGAAATTAACGTACAATGTTATAGCTGGGTGGATTTTTCAAAATATGTCTTGATAAGAAAAATGAAAGTGCAATGTTTTAATAAGGAAAGCAAATGAAATTACAATGTTGGAAGTGCGTTGTATTTGTCAGAGTACATGCGGAAAAAAAAATTAAAGGGCTAACTTGACAGTAGTCATAGGAAAACACCAACCAAAACCATGTTCATTGGCTGTCAATATGAAATTACATTGTTATTTTAAAGATATTAACTTGAAAGATCAATTTGTAATAGATAATGAAGGTAAAGTTGAAGTATTTGTGTTCCTACTTCCCACCTGACCAAACAGCCACACCTAATCCATCAAGCATTGTAGTGTGTGAGTTAGTTCTCATAACATATCAGGATAGAGCATTTCATCAGTGTTGAAAACAACCCATCTGAGATATTCGATGTCAACATGAAAGTGTAACATGTAAAAATTAGGAAGGATGAAAAGCCCGGATTCTCCATAAAATCAAGCGGTTGCCTTAGTTATTGTATAATGAATAGGAATGCTAAAAAAATCTTCCCATTTAGACTTCACTCATGCATTAAAACTTCTGCCTCCATGTGTCTCATGGTTGAGGCCTTTTTTGTTTTGTTCTGCAGGTATGGGGCCACATTGAGGTAGATGGAGAGTTAGAGATATACCTTGTTTCATCATCATCAATATAGAAATACATTACAAAATTTGGGATTGGGGACAATGGGTTTGGAACCGGACAAGAATGAAGCAAAACATGTAATTTTAATCGCAATATATTTTTTGAAACATGTTTGTGGTGAAGATTCATCAGAACCTTTTGAGGTTGCTATGTCTTTGGTTTTCCATGCTTGACCCTGTTTTCTTCTTACTACTGTTGTACGTGAACCAAGAAGATACTTGAAAACCTGCCAAGGCAGCATGCCACCAAGGATGATCGATAATGAGACTTCAAATATTGAAATCTACGATCAGATTTGTTATCTTGAAATCAATAATAAGATTTACAATCTCAAAATCAAGTGCAACATATTATAAAAAAAAATCATACTATTTATAAAAAAAAAGGAAAAAAAACCCGATAATGTCAATGATTATAATAGCTCGTGGCGCCTCTTTTCGATTGATTCCCTAGATAGCTTGATGAGGAATGAGCACCAATGATTGAAAAAAAAAACAACAAAAAAAATGTAGTAATAAGTAGTAATTGATGTAAAATTTTGTTGATCCAAAGTAAAATTTCACTTGTAGTACTGTAACATTAGTTCAACATATTGTATCTTGTAACTTGTAATAAGTAATAAGCATCTACATACTTTCCTAAGACCCATTATTATGTTTTTATGTTATTGGTTCATTAATTCATTCACGCGTTTAATTTTGACCCATAATTTGTCATAATATTTTATAAATGATTAAACATAAAGAATATAGAATACTAAACCATATAGTTTTGGAAGAGCCTACAAATAAAATAATCACACCATTGGATGAAGGTTTTAATTACTTTCTTATCCAATAAAACATTTGAAAGAATATAAGCTCCATCAAATATATAGAAAATCAAATCTTGAAGAGAATAGTTGAGGAAAAAAGGAAGACAAACCTCGTGTACACGACTACATATGATATTTTCCCTATTTAAGTTCCTGCAATTAAAAGAACACAAATAATAATTTTAGTGAATTTAAACAAGAAAATGAAGTGAAACAATCTTATGGGAGATAACAGAGAATACAGATCCTGATTTTATCCTTGAAATTTCATTAAACGGTTGGTGTGCAATATGAATTTGAAGAATGTGAGTGAAGTTTCGATTTTGGTTTTTAAACCCACTAGCGAAAAATTCTACAAATGGTTCAATAAACAGTGCAAACAAACCAAAAAGAGAAAGTAAGCCCACTTCAACACATGCTTTTGGCACTTGGCAGGACCAAGGGATCAATTCGACTTCTATCGCAACATGGTACTTTCAGAGCAATTATAATAAATCTTTGAGAGATTTAGTGATAAAAAAAACATATACATGTGAGAAGAACTTCTGATGCCCCATAAATTGATTTGAATCCCATCTTTCAACCTCAGATAATCCTGGAAAATACTTACAAAATAGTGAACCATGTAATACACTCTGAACTCCATTTAAGACCGGGGGAAAAACCAATAAGTTACCAACAATTAAATAAATCATGAATTACAAAAACCATAGGTTTTTCGATGATGAGTCAACATTCGTTGAACCACAAGAATTCATCAAATCAGGAAGGCAGAAAATCTAACCCCCATTAAAGAGTGGGTTAAAAATCAATCACCCCAAAGAATTAAAAAAAAAAAACTAAATTTCAAGAAAAAAAACGATTCAATTCTCTGGTCTTCAACTTCTCCAAACCCATCTCACGTGCTGAAGTGGACATGAGAAGGACTGAGTCGACGTAATGATAAAACACGTCGGTAAATTGGGTCGATTAGGGGATGGGTTACGTGGCGCTGTTGGAAGCTTGTGAATTTGATTTTGGCGGCACCTCATAAAATGGGTCTTTATATAATAATCGTAATAACATCCTACATTAACCCTGAAGTATTGAGAATAACCAGACACCTCTTTTGATATCAAATCCTATAACTAATGCAGACCTGAAAAATCAAATAAATCTCCCTTAGTATATATATATATATATATATATATATATATATATATATATATATATATATATATATATATTATTGTATGATGGTGTTTAAAAAATCACATCCATTTGTAGGAACTAAAACGTTAAAGCATGAAATGTGTAAGGGGTTATAGTGATGCAAGCGATTGTACGAACGTAGAAATTAGCTATAAGTTTGTGAAAAAAGTAACTCATATATTATAAAGATGTGTAAAAAATGAAGCGAAAAAACGACGTTGGATGCTCGAAAATGAAACATAAAAAATATTTGTCGGAAATTTGTCGGTAATTACTTACAAACTATACCATTTGTCGATAATTATAGATTGAATACCAACCGGTTTTATTTATTTTTTTCAATTTTCAAGAGCCAAAAATCAATCTATAACTTAAGATTAGTCCTTACTTATTAGATAGGTGGCACTAGAGATAGGAAAAGGGAAAAGAATTATGCTACGTTTTTGCTTGTTTCAATTGTTTTTATGGCTTCATTATTAAACTTCAAAAAGAACAAAACATAAAACTTCCAACTAATAATTTATTCCTTACTTATTACTTATTAGAGAGTTGATACTAAATAATTTATTCCTTACTTATTAAAGGGTCAGGTACTAAAGATAAAATTTAAGAATAGAGTTATGTTATGTTTTTGTTTGTTTCAATTGTGTTTATTTCTTAAGTATTAAACTTCAGAAAAAATAGTTGAAACATAAAATCAAATCTAGAATAATGAAGACTTCGAGAAAACAATGTCCACATTAGAGCATCATATTTTTTTACCAACCGGTGTTTAAAACAATCATAAAATACAGTGTAAAATTAAGTAGTTTGTTGATATAAAATCATTATATTCAATTCCATATTAGGGAAACTTGATTGGTAAATTACTTAAAGAAAGTTAAATTACTATGAGAAACCGCATTTGAAAAACTTCGTCGGTTTCTTCTCGGAAAGGAAAAGTGAATAACAAAAAAAGCATAAATAGCAGTACATAAGAAAAAAAAACCCCACTTGATTTTTGTGAATTTGGCACACATATATTCTATTTCTTTGTTATTAATAAGAGAGTGAGTCTAACATCATAATGTAAAGAGAGAAATACAATTATAATGGAGGCAATACTTGATGTACCAGAACATGAGCATCCACTAAAGCTCATTGATTTGCAGCTACAAATACAATATGAAGAAGAAGAAGAAGAAGAAGAAGAAGAAGAAGAAGAAGAAGAAGAAGAAGAAGAAGAAGAAGAGAATGGGGGCTGTGATAGGATTATGAAAGAGGGTTTTCATGGTATCACATGTTGGAGGTGTAAGGAAGAGATCCATGTTTACCATAGGTACTACTACAAATGCAACATATGTGATGATTTCTCACTTCACAAATTTTGTGCCGAGCACTGTAAAATGTTAGAGCACCCATCACACCCGCACCATACTCTTTTTCTGGTACCATATTCATTTTTACATGTATATTTTTATCATATTTGCAACCTTTGTAAGAGAGGTCACAAGCCTGGAGAATTGTTTTACCAATGTGGTAAATGTGATTTTTCCATTGATCTCCGGTGTGCCATGGAAGTAGGAAAAAATGTCATCCATCATCCTTGTCACCCTCACTTGCTAACATGTGCTATCCCTAAGCCCATTTTATGTGAGTGTAGTGCTTGTGGGATGGAACATAAAGGAATATTCTATCAATGTTCCACTTGTGCCGGCGGTTTCACTATACATAGTGAATGTGCTTTCCTACCAAAAACTTTGCTAATCCAAGAGAAAAAAGATGGTGCTTTTTATCATACCCATCCACTCATCATTTCATATTCCTTCCCTAAGATAGATCAACAAGCTAAACATGATCCTAGATGCAGAGTATGTGGTGGTTATTTTATTGGTCAAGATGATCTTTGGATATACAAATGCGACAAATGTATGTACTATGCACATTTGTATTGTGCAACATCAAAACAAGTGTCGTCTACTGGTAAATCATTTTACGATTTCTTTGTTCCTCTTAATTATCCTTTAGTAATTAAATTATTATGTCAGGACATCTTTATTTGATATATATATATATATATATATATATATATATATATATACACACACACACACATACTGATTATGTACCTTGTTATTCTATTTCCAATTTATCAGGATTTGGATGCTGACTATCCTCATCTTTTTCATCTCCCATTTCCTGATGAAACTTACATCATACCAAAACACTTGTTTTCTCAACAAACTAGATTTGGAACATTTACAAGTAATGATGAAGTAAGCCTACAACATATCAGTCATGAACACCCTCTAATTCTTGTTGATCAAATGCAAATGGATGGGAAAACCTCCTCAAATATTTATTCTTGGTTATTAAAGTGTCATGACCCAGTGAAAAAGACCCAATTGTTATGTAATGGATGTCTTAGACCAATCATGTCCACCATGCCTTTTTACATGTGCACTAATGCTAATGATGATCATAGTTGCAACTTTGCTCTTCATGAGTGGTGCACTCGACTCCCTGGAGAAATAGAAAACCACCCGGTTCACCCATAACATACCCTCCGTCTCATCTACTCAAAAGATATTCCTTTCTTTTTCGGTGTGTTCGATTGTGCTGTTTGTTATTTACCTTGCAATGGGTTTGCCTACTGTTGTTTTGAATGCAAATATTATGTTGATATTTGTTTTGGGTTTATACCTAAACATATCACACATAAAGCCCACCCAAATCACCTACTTTCGATAGTTCAAAAAGGAAATCATTCTTATGTTTGTTGTATCTGTAAACGACATTACAATGGAAGTCAACCTTCATTTAGTTGCAACTCGTGTGATATTTATATACATCCCGAATGTGCTTTATTATTAGTAGAGACAATCAGGCACAAGTATGACAAGAAGCATCCAATGCACCTAAGTTACATCCCCGATTGAGAACTATAAGAGCGAATACTTTTGTGAAATTTGTGAAGAGGATTTGAACCCTCATGCATCTTTCTATCATTGTCAAGATTGTGTTCAGTCAATACATACCGGTTGTGCTCCGTCAATACTTCAGTGCGAGACAGAGACATATACCATGTACTATGGAGGTGTTCATGTTTTCATAAATATAAAGTTTGGAAGCATTCATAACAATAATAGTCACACGCACCCTCTCTTATTTGCTCAAGGTATTGTGTTGGATGGCCAATGTAGTATATGTGGTAATGAATTACGATACCGACTCATCTTTAAATGTCTAGAGTGTAAGTTTGCAATTCATTACAATTGTTGTAGCCTTTAGACATCTCAACAAGATATGAAGTTCTTGAAGTTCTTGGTGTATCTTCAATATATTTCAAACCACAACATGATTTGTAATTGTATTTATCGCTACACTTTCTTTTATATTTCCACCTTTTATGTGTAAAATGATACAATATGAAGTTTAATTTAATGAATGTATGCTAAACTCTTCCAAATTTTTGTTCTATCTTAGCCAGTCCAAACATTTATTTATAATTATGAAAGCGCTTAACTATTCATAGCTAGTATTGTTTTCGTTTCAACTAACTTTTTATAACAATAAGTAGTTAACTATTGATATCCTTTATTGTATTTGTTTCGGTTTCTTATTTATAAAGTACATTATATGTATTATTTTATCTAGCCTTTCAAGAGGAATAATAACAAACAAGTACACTTATGTACTTGTAAAGATTTTGGAATACTTTTCGAGCGAGTGCTTTTGCGTGCAGTCTTCAAGTTTTGGAATACTTCTAAGGTTGAGGTTACTTGGTTGATTTGAAACGTAAAATCATAATCCTTCACAACCACCCGCCTCCGGTCCTAATAACCCTTCACCAATCATCTCCAAAACCATCAAACTCAGTTTCTGTATTTCTTGTAGATAAGTTGAAATTACCTCCCTCTGTATGTATTGTAAATTTCACTTAGGAGAATATTATAAAGTCATGATTCTTTGAAATAATGAATATAATTTATTAAAATAACATAATTAATTTACTGATATCTAGTTGGTTTGTCGGGCCATAGTTGAATGCATTTGTCTAATGTGTGAAAAAGATGCTTAATTAAGATTTTTCCCACCATAAATACACACCATCATTTGTGTGATCTGTGTTGATGTAAATCCAACCCTTCGAAAGTGGACTGTATCCTGCTGCTTCTTTGTATGGCATGTTAAAGAATTCTTTAAGAACATTCATTACATCAATCATCATCTTCTTCGGGACTCCTTGATTGATCACTTGTTTTATGATTTTATAGCAAAAAATGTATGTAATATTTAAAAGCAATATATAGAAGTTAACTCACCTCACAGATAACGAAAAAAGCATAAACTTTTATACATGAAACTCTGAAAGAAACCAAATTCTTGAGAAACCTTCAAGACTGTTTTAATTTATTGAATAGGTATTCCGAGGTCTATAACAGGAAGATTAAGATTTTGCAGTCTATCTTCCTCGGAGAATATATGATCCTGATGAGGTACATACTTAACATTGAACCACCTTAAATATGTATCTTCCTTGATGTCCATATGTCTATGATTCCCTAGATATGACCATAACAAAAAAAAAACTCTTTATCATTTTCAGGCCATCATCAGTTTAGTGTTTAAAATATACAACTTGTCTCACCTAAGAATCAAGATAGCTCTAACTGGAAATGTGAAAAAGATGAACGTAATATACAACCTATATATATATATATATATATATATATATATATATATATATATATATATATGTTGTATATTACGTTCATATTTCATATTTCCAGTTAGAGCTATCTTGATTCTTAGGCGAGACAAGTTGTGTGTGTGTGTGTGTGTATATATATATATATATATATATATATATATATATACTATCTTATAAAAGAAATCTAACTATTTCTATAAATAGATTCATTATAATAATATTATTTTTTTAAGACGTTCAAGTCTCAAAGCCTAAATTACAACAAATTATAAATAAAATAATAATAAATTTTAAGTCATCCAAGTTTATAAGCCTAATATACAATTACCTAATGCATATTTGGACCCAATCCCTTAATCCGCTTGATCCCCTGATCAAGTCTGTTTACTCCCGAGATCTCGCCAAATATCCCGACATCCAACTTTTCCGTTTTCTTAATTCTAGGATCTCAGTTTCAAAATCGGAAACCCTCTATCTCTCTAAACTCTAATGTTCAATATAATAAACCCTAGCCTCAACACACCACCTCTGATCCTTCTCTCCCCAATTTCACGCACACAATCTCCATGGGTCACCACAATCCACCACCTCCTTCAACGTCTCCACAATCCACAGTCACCATCACAACCTTCATCACTACCAATTGGTACTCTCCAAAAACCCTTACAAGTGCTAGCCACCATGACCGTTAAAACCATTCACCATCACTATCCCATGTCAGCCTCTACTCCTGTTTCTCTCTTCGTTAGATTCTTGGGTATTTGAGGAAGTGCTGGTGTTTCCACCTTAACCATCACCACCATCGCCACCATCCACCGTCAACCCAACCCCATTGGTGGATCTGGACTCACGCCTCCTTATCTTCTCTCTCATCCGATCACAGAGAATTTATATCAAGAGAGATGGAGTTGGAGAGAGCATCAGTCACCACCATCGCCGATCTGTTGTGAGCTGCTATTTCCTCCATTTTTCTCTACTTTTCATTCTTTCCTGAATCGAGTTCGTCTCCAACAGATGGCAGGTTAACCCCCCATTTTCCCTTTCCTTTATTCAAGTAGATATGTTTTGTAGCCTAGGTTAGAATCATGTCTCTGTTTTTTTTTGTGTGTGAAGATGCCATATAGACAGCACACATTTTTTGAAATTATCTCTCAAATTCAGAAATTCGTTTGCCTCTTTAAGTTTAGCATAAGTTTTATGTTTTTAGTTCTGATATGTTTTTAGTTCTGATATGTTTTATAATATTAAATCCCAACACTTTTATGCTCAATGACACCTCTATATTGCAGTGAAATAACACCAGAAGGTCCCCAGACTGCAAATCTTGATCATATTTTCTTTAATAGAAAGAACATAATTATCGTAAGTATCATGTTAAAGCTTCTTGGTTTTGGTTCAGTCACAGACCAAGTCACAGACCAACACAGAGCATTTGTAAATACCTTATCTACCCATTTGAGTAAGGAGGTACACAAGTTGATTTTTGTCTATATTGTTCTTCATGTCTACAAATGTAAATTAATATATCTTGATAAATCTATCTGATCATACATGATTTTAGGCTAATTTAAAAAGACTAAGTTAATTGTATATTGTAGAAGAGAAAGAAGAGGACCATGTGATGAGAAATAACAACCCAATGGTGTTTCCATGATGCTTGAAAAATGCTGGTTATGATGTCTGTGTGCAACACAATGCTTGATTAGGTTATGTTATATAATACACCATCTTTATCACAAGCCCCTCCCCTGAAAATCAGGAGACAACCCCCATAAAGTAATCCATGAATTAGAGATATATTGTTTTCATTTTTATGTTTAAATAGTAGTATATTCAATTGCTTTCCATTTTAATTTTATGTTTAAGCCATAATATCCTAACTGTCGCATCCCTCATCCCTCATAACTGAAAGAAGTAAAATGTGTAAATGGTAGTATATGTTAACTGAGTATTCTGTTTAAGTTATTGAGTTGAGTTGAGTTTTAGTTTTAGTTTATTCATTATGACAGGGGTTGTACTGGTGGTGAAAAAATTAAGTGATAGAGAGCAGCAATGAGATGGCGGAAAGGGGAATTGTTTTTTCATTCATTCGATCATTATTCTCTCCAATCGTTTTGATCCCATATCCAACCTCAAAATTAAGCAAAACAAACGACTTTTTGCTTCTTTGGAAACATACTTGATAGGTTATAAATTGAACCCCAAAAAAACTTGCAACTTCTTGCTAATAAACGAAAGTAAGTTGTTATTTTTTGCATTTAATTTATGTTAAATGCAGGAAAATAACAACTAACTTACAAATTACAGTTCCCTGATGAGAAATAAATTGAAAGTACAAACTATGTAGTCAAAAGGGTATAGGAAAGGGATATTTGCTCATTTCCTAACATCCCATGTCATAAATGGCAAGTATAACATTGTTCTTTTTCCATTTAGTCTTGAAAATGCATTAATGTGAAATCAATACTTGAATATTTATCTGACGTCACTTTTTTGTCTAAATATCAGATGAACAAAGTTAGCATGATTGTCGTTAGAGATTCAACAAAATAGATGTTGCAACCACTGCTAATCAATCACAAAGTTATTTTGGTTGCTTGTCACATCTTTTTATTAATGGTTTCTAATATAGGCTTAAAGATTTATAAAGTTTTATAGTAAGCAACTCTTATTGTAAGTCTCATAGTTTTTAGAAAGTATAGCAATTAAAAAAATTATTTTATTTTAGTATTGTCAAAATTTTCATTTTACTATATGTGAATTTTTAATATGTATATCTAGCTTTTTTTAGTGGTTATGACATCGAAATTGATTACATTACTCTTTTGTTGTTAAGTTTTGCAA